TGTTGACTGTAGCTGAACTTTTAAAAAACACAAAGGAAAATCTTTTCCGTTTTTAGTACATTGTTGTCGTCTACCCATAGTCATTCTGTTAAAATATGGTCAATCAACTTGAATTACACTGTTAAACAATCAGTTTAACAGTCAGGCAAATAATAGGCCTCAATTTTGTGTTATTTTTTTCTTTAGAAAATTTCTTAATATGTGTAGGCCTATAGCTAGCAGTGCTAACACACTACAGCACTCACACTATCCAAAATAATTCCCTCAATGTTCTTTCATGTTGGCTTGAGTATGTGTGTGCACACTGTCCATGAGTGCCTCTACTCATAGTCTTCTGGATGTGTAAATAACACATGTACTAGAAAATGTACATGTTTGTTTTGGCTGCAAACACACCCTGAAGAGCAGCTATTTCTGCTCAAAAATACTGAGGTCAGTTTAGTGTGGACAAGAGTCCACGATAAAATAAGGTTTTACCTATAGCAGATGTATTTTTGATGAGGAAAAATCAAACATTTCTGAATGGCTCACTCACTGACTGAAACGGTTAATGTCTAACAAAATATTAAGTCTTGCGCTGGACGGCCCAACGCGACCAGCACGAGTCACTGTTTGTCACATGATTAATGCGTCTGGACGCTGACAGCCAACGTTTATTTCCTCACTCACATACGGCAGCGATGACAAATAGTTGTTCTTCTCCTAATATGGGAAAGAGGGACGTTAGTCCTGTACACTGAATAACAGATTCCCCCCCTTTTCTTCACTCTTGAATTCTCTTGCGGCTCAGTTGCATCAGCTAGAATATGAGCTCATTTCCCTTTTTTATCTGATCTATATAAAAAACAAACAGTAGTCATCAATAACATGGTTTATTGTGCTGCTTTGACAAACACTTTACTGTAATACTGTCCAGGTATAGTAGTAATTTTACATGAATGTCCTCTAGGCCAGAGGTTTTCAATCTTTTAGATTCTACAGCCCTAATATTCATAAATGACCTCTATATTTTCATGTATAAAGACACAGTTTATACTGTAAACAATTAATAATATGCGTGAAATATTACGTTTCTTAGTTTAGTTACTATGTTTTTTATACTCATAATAGGCCTACTGTACTGTTGTTTGATTTAATATTTATTTAAAACCTTTTTTAATTTATTCTAATTAAGTATTTATTTAGAACGATAATTTATTTATTTTTTATTATATCTTTTTTATTTATTACACTGTGTTCCCCCGAGGGGTCCTTGGATGCCAGTTTGAAAAAATATTATTTTATTATTATTTCTTGTTTTAATTTTAAATAAGTTGAATCATGCCACATTTAAACTAATGACAGCACCCCCAAAAGATACTAGTATAGTAGCAGAAAAAGAATGTCATCACGCCATAGACTAAACAGGAAAGGAAGACGGTTTCCTGCCCAGCACAGGATCAAGAGGAGAATGCATTATATAGTATGTATGGCTGCGAGCAGACCTTCAGATGATGTTATTTAGACAGTTGTTATTTGTGCACTGTTTACATTTTGCATTTAGTGTACATTTACATTGTTTGCAATTACTGTTAAATACAGTGAAAATTCTCAATTTCTTTCACTGTTTGCATCAATCACATTCTGCATGGTTCTCGCATCCCATGTGAAGAGTGACTGAGCCTCTGTTCTTCCATCTGGTGCTCTTTATGAGGTGTGTATAAAAGGACTTAGGCTACTTTGTGACGTCAGGGCCGTTATTTTTCCATGAGTTTTATAAGCGCTGTAGTTAGAAGTGTTAATGTCAATTATATAATGGTTCTTGGCGGTGCACTGGTACTAATGATGGCACCATGTTGCGTTAAGAAAAAAGTTTTAAAAAGTTATTTTTTGCTCTTTCATGTCCATGTCGCCACACCTTCAACATTTTTGTACATCTGTTGATCCCTCACAGGTCCTCTTTACGTCAGTGTTGTCCTTGACATTTCGCGCACAAATTGAGATGTTCAGTGTGTAGTCCTAAAACCCAGAAGAGAATTAACTTTTTCCAGTCATGGTTTTCAATCCTAACCATAACTTTCCTGAAATTTACTATGGATTTATGAGGAAATTATAGGTCTGTGGTTAACGTTACTTGAAGAGAGTTTTATGTTTTGTTTATTAATTACAGTTATACCCCAAATGTGTATTTTGAAGTCAATGCTTTTGCGTTCTTTCCAAGTGAACGCAAAGTTTCTCGGGGGAACGCAAAACATTTGCAAGAGATTTTTCTTCACCATGTCTCTTTAGGGGCTCCATACTAAAGACTTCAACTATACACAAGAATGCTGATGTGTTCAAGTTATGTCGGAAAGATTGTATTTACGAGTTGAATGCACATGAATGCCACCACAAAGTCGTAAATACTAGTGGGAAGCTCAGGATTTCCTTTGATCCCTGATCTTTAGGAGTCGGGGGCATGTCAGTGAGAAACATGGCAGAATACCATAATAGGAATTTAGCAGTGACATTCTCAGACTTTTTTATTTACAACAAAATAATCAAATTGTCTGCACAAAATGTTATGGCATAAAACAATATAAAAATATGTAACAATAAAGTTTACAGTGGCTTCATAACTGTATTACAAACATAAAAAAGCAATACCTGATACCTACACATTATTGGGATTTTTTCCCCCTTTCATTTTAGTAAAGTTATTTATATATATATTTATTTGTGTGGTAAAGGAGAAAATCTTGCTCCGACAAAAGTGACATGACCAGCTGAACTTCCCAACTCGTAAATACGAAATTCCCAGGAGGGCTTGAACGCACCACGTGAGTTTAAATTAGCCTAATTTAAAAACAAAAGCTATTAAAACGATAGAAATTAAAATAGGCTACTGTGGTTATTGGTGAATTAGCCTTCAAGTGTTGGCCTATAGCCTACATTGACGGCATATTAAAGTGCCGACGTAATGTGGTAGGCTAACGTTAGCCTACCTAATAAGATTTAACACGTAGCCCATTTTGTCTGAAAATGCTATTGTCTGGTAAAAGATGTTTTCGTCCTCACCTGTCCATTCACTGATATATAGCCTATATATAGCCCTATATATATATATATACAATTAGCTGTTTCCGTCAGAAACCCACGCGCTCATCCCGTCGGATGGACAGAAGCGCGCGCGGTCAGGCGGTTGGATCATTCACAGACGTCATCCTCATCTGAAGATCATGAGTCGCTGATGGAAAACGGCAGCTTTTCCCCCTCGCCTGCGTTAGTCAGCCTCAGACAACGGTTCAGTCAGTAGCGCCCATTACTTCAACACTGGACCGTGTTTTGAGTGGCACGAGGCCAGTTTCTGAGAGCGAAATCTGAATATAACTGTTCAAATGAAAGCATCCCCACCCTGTCCGTCTTAGTAATGCCTGAGCCAACGAATCTATATTTAGCAGCACAAACTCTGAAAATACAGTTTACACCCCGAGTTGAACAGCGACTTTGTGGTGTGGAATCTGTGGTCCAATTGATTGCAGGCCTTACATTTAATGAGCTAATGCAATAATGAAAAAGCTCAAGGAAAGCTATTATCATATTATTATGAGCTGGTTATATGCTATGTAACTCTGAACTTAGAATATGCTTGTAAAAGTCAATATGATTCTAGATGCACTTTTGAATATTTTATAGATATATTTATGTTGTTATATAAACTGTTCAGTCACATAATACATCTGGGCTATACTAGGCCTACTTTATTTACAGTAGCCATAATAAATAAACTGAGAATGAAAGGCATTTGAGTTTACATGCATTACAGTTTCTGATAGTTGCATCAGATATATTGTATTAAATTACATCTGGAAGACTTGTACTTAAGAAAAAAAAATTATGTTCTCATTTCCTTATGTTTTGTTCAAGGTTATTCAAAGCTTTAATATTGGTTGAATACGTGAATGATTAATGAAAGAATGTGTGAGGGAGAAATAGTTTGGTCACTGCATCAGCACAAGCTAATAATTAAACCACACAGTAAACGGTGATATTACTAGTAATAATGAAAGAAACTGTTAAAAGCTCACTGAAGTGCCTTGAAACACGCATTATTCAGTGTGTTGACGTCATAGTGAAACAGTAAGAGAGGGCGGGACCCTAAAAAAACTTAGTGTGAGGGGTCGGTGTGAGTTGGGGTGAGAGTTTGTGTATGAATGAGCTTTGTATGTGTATCTGTAATGTATGTTATGTAATGCTTTTGCTTATGATTTGTCTTTTGTATTCTGTATTTGTGTTTATAGGACCCTCTTGAAAATGAGATGATGCATCTCAAGAGGTTATCCTTTAATAAATTCAATTCAACCCTAACCTAACCCTAACCCTATTGAACAGCTCCTCCCATTAAAAAAAAAAGCCAATAGCGTTTCGTTTATATCACTGTTTGACTAGCCGTTGAGCTCAGTAAAGCCGCAGTTTCCTCCTAATCTCACCATGTAGAAAATAGTAAATGTGTGAACAAGTGACCGATTTCAGCCACTGTACCCACAGCTTCAGCATCTATTTATAATGAAGCTTCGGCTTCTGAGCATTTGATTGGACAGAAAATCTGATAAGAATTTAAAGTGCAGAGTGATGTCATCAAAATAATTTATTTTGGGAATGAGACTGTAAGTTTTGAATGTTTATATCTTCTAAATGCGAATTGTATTATTTTGGAGCACATTATAGATAACAGTAAGGCTAACATATTCATACTAAAAGCCAAAAACCTCAATTCTGATTTCATGGGGACTTTAAATCAGCTGTCATGAGTCAGCTTTGAATATAGCCTAGGCTATACTGTACAGAAGAAATGTTTCTGTGGAACAATCCTTCAAGCAATGACGTGCATATATCTAGATATGTCTAATAATAAGTGCCTGATAACATACATATTTTAATCTACTGTTTAACGGTTTATTTACAGTAGCCTAATAATTTTTTAAATGGACAATATGATGATGACATGACGATATTATATAAGTACATGCAGATGGCGCTGTTTCAGCAGTTCCGTCTCTAAGTGCCGCGTGAGAGTCAGAGCAACATAAACACATCTCTTCCATTTTATAATATTATTCCACGTTGACACACACTCAGATTTTGTTGCTCAGTGTGTTATTGTTGAACACAGGATGGACTTCGCAATCCGGGCCGCCACGCTCGAGGACTGTAAGGATATCTCGCGGATGATTCTGGTGAGTCGAAGCCCCCGCGTGTCATACGCGTCGCGTGCGTCTATTTCTGACGAATTTAGAACTTAAAGAATTGGAACACTCATCTGCCGCGTCACCGACAGCATGCGCAGTCTTTCATTATCCTCCAAACTCCGTTGTTTAACGTGTACCGTGCGTATAATGGCATCAGTGTTGATGGTCAGTTTACAGTAAGCCACATTTACTTGACACACTGTAATCTGACACTTTCCTGTCGTCGAGCGAAGTGGAAATGCTGGGGAACGTGCAGTAGCCTTCATCTGTCAGCCGCGACTTTTGTGTGTTTTGAATGGTGGATCTGAATGACGTCATATTAATGATGATGAAAATCAGATCATATCGTGTCCGCTACAATAAGCAGGCCAGTGTCACGTCATGGATTAAATGTACCTCATTATTAATACATAAATGAATAAAATAATTATGCACTTTGCTGATGTCAGAATAGTGAAAATTTGCCCAGCAAAATCAAGCCATAAACTGTTTGTTTTGTCGAATCCTTTTAACTAGGAACTGGCAGAGTATGAGAAAGTTTCAGACCAGATCAAGATTACACAAAGAGGTAGGCATGATTGTCATATCTCTCCAATACAAATACAATGATTTGTTTGGAATAAATTATACTGTGGATTGTTTGGAGCTGGTACAATCATACAACTTTTACTATAGATCTGGAACAGGATGGATTCTCCAAAAACCCTTTTTTCCATGGAATTATTGCTGAAGTGCCAGAGCATCTTAAGTCCAGAGATGGTGAGAAAAAAGAACCGCCTGATTCAATATTTATCTTTGATCAACAATCCTAAAACTTCAGATAAAAACTGCTGTCCTTCTGTGTTGCTCTGCATTATGAGACACATTTGTTATCTAATCTGGGCATGCGTGTCATGTCTAGCCTGAGTGCATGGATGTTACATATAAGCTAGTTTGCCATTTTATTCTCTGTTGCTTTACTTCTCCATAGTTACACATATACACTCACCTAAAGGATTATTAGGAACACCATGCTAATACTGTGTTTGACCCCCTTTCGCCTTCAGAACTGCCTTATTTCTACGTGGCATTGTTTCAACAAGGTGCTGAAAGCATTCTTTAGAAATGTTGGCCCATATTGATAGGATAGCATCTTGCAGTTGATGGAGATTTGTGGGATGCACATCCAGGGCACGAAGCTCCCGTTCCACCACATCCCAAAGATGCTCTATTGGGTTGAGATCTGGTGACTGTGGGGGCCATTTTAGTACAGTGAACTCATTGTCATGTTCAAGAAACCAATTTGAAATGATTCCAGCTTTGTGACATGGTGCATTATCCGGCTGGAAGTAGCCATCAGAGGATGGGTACATGGTGGCCATAAAGGGATGGACATGGTCAGAAACAATGCTCAGGTAGGCCGTGGCATTTAAACGATGCCCAATTGGCACTAAGGGGCCTAAAGTGTGCCAAGAAAACATCTCCCACACCATTACACCACCACCACCAGCCTGCACAGTGGTAACAAGGTATGATGGATCCATGGAGATGAGTGGTACCCGGTGGGGTCTTCTGCTGTTGTAGCCCATCCGCCTCAAGGTTGTGCGTGTTGTGGCCTCACAAATGCTTTGCTGCATACCTCAGTTGTAATGAGTGGGTATTTCAGTCAAAGTTGCTCTTCTATCAGCTTGAATCAGTCGGCCCATTCTCCTCTGACCTCTAGCATCAACAAGGCATTTTCGCCCACAGGACTGCCGCATACTGGATGTTTTTCCCTTTTTACAGCATTCTTTGTAAACCCTAGAAATGGTTGTGCGTGAAAATCCCAGCAACTGAGCAGATTGTGAAATACTCAGACCGGCCCGTCTGGCACCAGCAACCATGCCACGCTCAAAATTGTTTAAATCACCTTTCTTTCCCATTCTGACATTCAGTTTGGAGGTCAGGAGATTGTCTTGAGCAGGACCACACCCCTAAATGCATTGAAGCAACTGCCATGTGATTGGTTGATTAGCAGGGACGTGCACAGGGGGGTTGCTCAGGTTGCCCGGGCAACTGCCCATATGCCCTTCTCGACTCAGGTTGCCCTTCCGAGGAAAAAAACAATAAAAAAAATCGTACAATGGATGCAGAATTTCACGTAGGCCTAGATAAAAAAAAAAAATCGCACAGCCTCATTCACTTCCATTCGGGCACCGAAAGTGAAAGTCAGTAAGGGAAGGGCAAACTGTTTACGTGGCTGCAGCGCTGCACGCGACCGGTGCGTATTCTGCGTAGCCTAAGGCCCCGCAAATTACTTAAGGCCCCGCCTCCATCTCGTGTCATAGCGCGTCAATTAATGTGTACAACATCCATGACAAAATTAAGCGAAACTATCCTTCTGGTCACGAAAAGAGGAAGAAAAAAAAAACATGAGAGTGAATTGCGGGAACAACAATCAGGTAAACTTGTGTTCTCTCCTCTCTAAGTTTGATGTCAGCAAAGTTTGATGTTTTTCGGTCTTGCTAACCTAGCTGGGCAGGCAGTGCATCTCTTGCATCACTTTGTGCCTGAAAAAAGTGAGAGTAAAATACGTAAAATAAAAATTAATTACGTTTGTTTTTGATAAACGACAAAGTGCAACGGTGTTTGTTTACTGCAGCTCGGAAAACATAACCGCGTCGCCGCGTTCATATCGTGCGTTCATATGCGCGTGCACGAAATGAAACAAGCATTTTTCAAGCAGAAATATGTGGAGACCAGACATACTGTACAATACATGCACGTGAATGATGGCACTCCCAATCAAAGTACACATTATAAAACAAGACACTTATTATCTAGTCTCAGTGTAGTTAAAAACTCTAAACAACTGCACTATATGCAAGATAGAAAGCAATGTATTGACAATTTAACATTGATTGTGTAAGGCCGTCTAATTTGATCCAATGGCAGCATTCAAATTAGCGGTGAAGGTCTCACGCGTGTTCCGTCTCTTCCCATGGCAAAGGGATTTTCAATTAAATGCAATACATTTTATCTTATGTATTAACTCGTTTCATCTGACTCCATAAAATGAAAAAGTTTTTCAATGATATCGGTGCATCATTAAATATACGTTAATGTTTGACTATTCCTTTTAACTCCAATGGAAATGAAGTCAAAGTCTGTTAGAATAATCAAATATAACAATTTATTATGTCAGGTAAAAGTATTATGCCAATTTCATAATCAGTTCAAAGATCATCAATACAAAACATCAAATGCTTTAGGATAAGAGAAATAGATGCAAACCCAACAT